AAGAAGAAGAAGAAGAAGAAGAAGAAGAAGAAGAAGAAGAAGAAGAAATTTAAAAAGATCATTCCAATTTTATCTTCTCATACAATTCTCTTCTCTCTACACAGGGCAATGTCCCAGGAACCACAATTTCAAACATAGGTGAAATTCAGTTATGGAGTCCTCCATCCAAACCCAATCAATCTGAGTTTGACTCCTTTCAATTTAAGAATGTGTGGCTGAGAAGAAGACAGAATGAAGCTCAGTGTCAGAGTTTATATTATGCATACCACATTTCACTGTCTCCCCAAATTCCTCAACATTTATGTATGTTTAAATTAAAGTTCCATGAATCTTCTGTTCAGAAATTCATTTTAAATGCAAATAATTAGCCTCTCTAAAGTTAGAACATATGATCTTGGAGAATAAAATAAATTCAAATAGAATCTGAAACTTAAATCAAAGCATTAAACAGACTTATTTTTTCCAAATCATCTTAACTAGCTGAATCAGATTAATGGCCCAAAATGACTAGATTGGTTCAAATTTACAGATTCCTGGGTTAAATTCAAGTCTGTGATATTCCTTCCCATACATCTCAAAAGTAAATGGAAGGCTAATTATCCAGGGAAGGAGGTGATAGGAAGGAACAGTATGATTAAAATCCCGAACAGAAAGACGTCACAGTGCAATGTTGTTTTTTAAATTCCATCTGAAATTCTATGAATATTTAGTGATGTGTAATATGTGTTTGTTAGAGTTGTACGGTCACTTTTGTTACAATTAGATGGACAGCTCAGAATTCAGCAAAAGCTCCATATATCCATTGATATTTATGAATAGAATACACAACAATTTTAATTCTGCATTTTAATTCTCACATATACTCTGATGTAGGAGCTGCAATGAAATGTCTTATATTCTGCATTTGGCAGCAGTAGAAAATGGCTTTATTAATGTATAAAGTATCTTTAAATTTGATTTAAAATATTATTTTTTGGGGTATTTGTTTTTCATATAGAAATTTTAAATAACTCTTGTATTTGAAGACAACAAGGCCACCTTGTATATATATTTTACCTAAAAAATTCCAAAGTAAAAGATAAATGTGCATTATAGATAACAAATGCATAATTTAAAATGTGAGATTCTAAGGTTTCAGACCTCTTAGCTATCTTTTGATTGCTTTGGATCTGGCAAGTTTCAAATAATGAATCTTATAAAAATTAATTGCCCCTATATATTCTGCATCAAATACCATTAAGTACTATTTTTGACTGCATGTTACAAATGGTCCAATATTAAACTTTAATGTGTATCAAGTACCAAATGTTGTCAAATATTATATCCAATAATACTGTGGACATTTTCATGAGTAACCACAAGATGTATGCATTTTTAGAAGGCTGATGACAAAATCAAATGTTGTTGTGGGTGTATTAGAACATCTCCCAAATTCTCTATAATATGTTGAATCGTAGTTATCTTCACAGAAGGTGATTTTAAAAAGCTGGTACTGTTATACCTGAATGTCAGTCAAATAATAAGCAATCATATCGATCACATAAAACTGCCAGATATGTCTTCAAATCATAGTGATTTTTTCTGACCAACATTTACAGTGAATAATGAAAAAAAACTTCATTCCAGCTCAAAATTTGCTTTTTTCAGCAAATTTTCATTGCAGTTTTAGACTTTTTAAAAAATAAGATTCATTTTCTGTTGTTTCAATGCTATCATTCTCTAAACCATTGCTTCTAATACCCTCATGGTTAATAAGCATATTTTGCTGAGAAAAATAAAAATAAAATGTATTAAAATTTGAATCTTGCATTTGCCTGATTTCATCCCAGGTGCCATAGGCAACAAAACTAGATAGGATGCTATCACAGCGAACCATACATCTAAATGGTTGATGACCATTCATATGTAATGTTGAATAATCAAAATATAGATTAAGAAAAAAGAAAATGAAGCTGAAAAGGTACAACTAATAAAACTACTTGTGGTGATAGCATTGAAATGGCATGGTTTTTCACTTTTATTTTATTTTTTGCTGCATCAATTATACCAGCAATGAAAGAAATATATAACACTACAGTGCATTCAGAAGGTCTTCGTATTCAAATATCAAATCCAATACTGTGTGGCTTAAAATATACACTAAATTATTTACAAAACTGTATGAAGATTGTAATGAGATTCCCCAAAATTCAGTTCTGCCCTTTCTCAAAATTCAGTAATATTGGCAATGATATCAAAGCATCATCATTATATTTTGGGTTGGGTTTAGAATCACCTAAGGCAGGGGATAAGAATGTTGTAGCCAAGACTTTATTTATAACTCACAGAGTTCCCACAAATGGGGCAGATTTGTAATACTGAAATTATTTTTTCCCCATCAGAGAGAGAATTAAAAACAAAAAAAATGGATATTTTAAGCCAGAGCATTCTCATAAACCCCCAAATCAAGCTAATTTGCCCTTTTAGGGAGTTGTTGGGCAACATGGATTTCTTAAGTTAATAAAGAGTTAAGTCAATTATAATATTCTTTAAAAGACCAATTTCTATACCAAAGACTGGAAAGGAGAAAAGGCAAAAAGGAGGCATTATATGAAAGTCTTACACTAATTTTTACCTTTAAACCCTCTTAAATTTAAAAACAAAAATGGGGGAAATAAAGGCCTTTGCCCATTTTGGTGATATAATAAAGTCAATGTTCAATTCTAACGTCACATTTGACAGTTTTTACACACATATTTTTTTTCCTGCCAATAGTGATATTCTATGGTGATTTTTTAAAGGGAATATTTCACTGCTTCAATCTTACGTGGTCCATATGCACACAATTCCCCTCAATGAAAACTATTGCACAATACTGTGATTAGAAGAAAATTCATATGTGGTGGTGAACGTCTTTGTCCTTCTCTTGATCTGTCTGTCTTCCAGTTAAAAGAACTTGACTGGTTTTGCTGAAGAAAGTTTGAAGACTTGTTTTATTCCTTCCCAACTGGCTGACTCTCCACAATATGGACAGGCACCATATAATCCCACAATCTTCAGTGGAAGGTAGAAAAACTACCAGGTGTTTAGCAGGTGTAGAAGGTTCAATTTGTTCCTGCTGCTTGTGAACAGCTCAACAGCATGGAGTCCTCCAGGTTGGTGTTTCTCTATAATCTTGACCCACCTGGAGATCCATGGTGTCGAATCATGAACATATCACACCAGCGTTGTCTCCATGGGAAGATGAAACTTCTGAGCGTTGCTTCATTCCCAGGAAATGAAGTTTGAGCAACTACAGCATGGCTCCCAAGCCTTTTTAATCTAACCTGCCTATCATACAAAGGCCATGATCTTTAAGATATTTGCATGAAGGAAACCCATGGAACTAAATGGGAATTGCTTCAGACTAACTGTAGATAACTGGATTGGGAAGAAAGAAAATCCAACCAACCAAGGCTTTCACAGAGCAGGATTCAGCATGGAAGTGTAGAGTACACCAGTGATTTAAAGCATAAAATGCTGATACTCATAGAAGAAAAAGTAAAAATGTTCCAGATGAGCAGGTAATTTAAAAAAAAAAGCAATTTAAGGTGCTATGCTGTATTTGGTATATTTTTAGCTTTCAATATCCTTTTACATGTTTCTTTCTGCTGACTGAGGTCATATTTATGCAAAATTTTAATATCATGGACTTTGAATTTGGACCTCTTACTTTTCCTTCACCCTGCAATATTTCAATTTTTATGGGGTTTTTTTTAGATAGGAATTCTCCTACTCCCATGCTGAGCCTGTATAAGCATGACATGACTATTCCCAACATTTTACGGCCTGCTCATTGTAACCTTGTAGTAAAAGAGATACATATTACCTCAAACAACAGGAACAACAGCAGAGTTGGCAACAATCCCACGGATAAATGCAATCTTCAATATTGTGCAACAATAAAACAGTGTGATGCTAAGTATCAGGACGGTATGATCCTTTGTGTTCATTTCTAAAAAGGAGGATAATAATAAAAATCAAACAACCTCTGCTTATCCTCATATTTGGAAGGAAGGATTCAGTAGGTGGATCAAATGCCAAATCCAGTCAATGATGCAATTAACCATAATAACACAGGTAATCCTCAGTTAATTATTGTGATTGGAGTTTCCATCACTAAATGATGTGATTGTAAAAAGGATGTCATGGGACTGCATGATATAATAGGACTGTTTAATGGTGAGGGATTCCTTTAAAGACAGCAACCAGAAGTGTTCTAGCACTTCCAGTTGGTGTCATTAAATGAATCCCACACCATTAAACACAACTTCATTTGCTTGCCATTTGTGCCTCCTGTCATCTTCTCCCTTGACTTTGATTTTCAGAAACCAGGAATGAATGTTGCAAATGGAGATCACATAATTGCAAGACACTATCGCAATGTCATAATTATGTACAGGTTGCCAAGTGCCGAGATACAGTCATATGATTGTGAGGGAGGCTGAGAAAACCAGAATGTTGTGGATCAAAGTCTTCAGTGCCACTTATTCAGCACTGTTGTAAGTTTAAATGGTGACTGAATGATTAGCCATTACATGAGGCTGTTCCCTGATACCACTAGATGACATTGCTAGAGCACGCTGCTTTAGAAGAGTGAGGAAAATTCTCAGGGATGACTCACATCCCAGTCAGCACTTCTTTGCCTTCTCCTACCATTGGGTAGGAGATATAGAAGCATAGTCAGTCACACCAACAGGCTGAAGAAGCTCAAACTGCCCAAGGAGCTGCTGATACAGCTCTACAGAGGAATTATTGAGTCTATCATCTACACCTCTATAACTGTCTGGTTTGGTTCTGCAACCCAACAGGACAGACACAAACTTCAGAGGATAATTTGGACTGCAGAAAAAACAATTACTACCCACCTGCCTTCCATTGAGGACCTGTATTCTGCACGAGTCAAGAAGAGGGCTGTGAAAATATTTACAGACCCCTCACATCCCAGACATAAACTGTTTCAACTCCTTCCCTCAAAATGATGCTATAGAGCACTGCACACCAGAACAACTAGACACAAGAACACTTTTTTCCCGAAAGCCATCACTCTGCTAAACAAATAATTCCCTCAACACTGTTCAACTATTTACAAAGTGTACACTACTATTACTGTTAATCTTCTCACTACTCCTTATCACCCATCCTCTCCCACTTGACTGTTTCCTAGTCTGATTTGATTGTTGATTGTACCCTATGACTATCATTAAGTGTTGTACGTTATGATTCTTGATTCTTAATGAATGTACCTTTTCTTTATGTAAACTGAGAGTATTTACACCAAGACAAATTCCTTGTGTGTCCAATCACACTTGGCCAATAAAGTATTCTATTCTATTCTATTCTATTCTATTCTATTCTATTCTATTCTA